GTGCCGACTAAGGCAAGGTGAGTCAACCGGCCGGCCATTGGAATCCGAGGTGAAGGACCAGCCGCAGCAGGGTTGCTCGTTTTGGCGCGACCGGGACCCACAAGAGGCTCACGGTTCATTGAGAAGGAGATACGGCTCTCTGACGAGCGCTGAGCCGTCTCTTCCCCCGGCTGTGTGGGACCTGGTTTGTGGTGATGGACCGGCAACAGGAACCCGCTGATGGAGGACTGTTTTTCATTGAGGAATGCGGGAGCGTTCAAAGAGACAGACTGCATTGCACACACCTGTATATAGTCGCGTACAGTGAGGGAAAAAAGTATTTGATCCCTTGCTAATTTTGTACGTTTGCCCACTCACAAAGAAATGATCAGTCCATAATTTTAATGGTTGGTCTATTTGAACAGTGAGAGACAGAATAACAACAAAATCCAGAAAAATGCATGTCAAAAATGTTATAAATTGATTTGCATTTTAATGAGGGAAAAAGTATTTGACCTCCTCTCAATCAGAAAGATTTCTGGCTCCAAGGTGTCTTTTATACAGGTGTAATGCGAGCGTAAATGGGGTTGTTGCTGGCCTCTGGTCCAATCACGCGGCCCGGGGCATTGGGGGGCGGAGCCTGGTCTGCGGGGCATGTGGGAGGGGCCACCGTTCACCTCGGCTCCAATGGGAGGCGAGGTCAATGGGGGCGGAGCCAGCGAGGTAGTATGGGAAGGCTGGATCTGACGATCCGGGAGGCGGGAGTCAGGGTCACGTGGGGGGAATGGATATAAGGGAGAGCCCGGAAGAGATCAGGGCAGTCGGGGAAGTTAAGAGGCTGAGCCACGTTGGGTGGTGAGGAAAAGATCCGCGCCATCGGCCACGTGGCCGAAGGACCTCAGCACACTGTCGGCCAGCGGTGTGCGGAGTGCGGGAATAGAGGAGCTAACGGAGGAGCGTGCGTGGCACGCGAGAGAGCGTGCGTGGCACGCGAGAGAGAGCGTGCGTGGCACGCGAGAGAGAGCGTGCGTGGCACGCGAGAGAGAGCGTGCGTGGCACGCGAGAGAGAGCGTGCGTGGCACGCGAGAGAGAGCGTGCGTGGCACGCGAGAGGGAGCGTGCGCGAGACAACACTGGCCCGGGAGGAGGCCAGTGGGGTGCGGAGAAGAACCTGAATAAAAGACAAAAGGAGACCAGCAGTGCCTGACGGAGTCTTTTATTACACAGGTAACGAGCTGAGATTAGCACACTCTTAAAGGGAGTGCTCCTAATCTCAGCTTGTTACCTGTATAAAAGACACCTGTTCACAGAAGCAATCAATCAGATTCCAAACTCTCCACCATGGCCAAGACCAAAGAGCTCTCCAAGGATGTCAGGGACAAGATTGTAGACCTACACAAGGCTGGAATGGGCTACAAGACCATCGCCAAGCAGCTTGGTGAGAAGGTGACAACAGTTGGTGCGATTATTCGCAAATGGAAGAAACACAAAATAACTGTCAATCTCCCTCGGCCTGGGGCTCCATGCAAGATCTCACCTCGTGGAGTTGCAATGATCATGAGAACGGTGAGGAATCAGCCCAGACCTACACGGGAGGATCTTGTCAATAACCTCAAGGCAGCTGGGACCATAGTCACCAAGAAAACAGTTGGTAACACATTACGCCGTGAAGGACTGAAATCCTGCATCGCCGGCAAGGTCCCCCTGCTCAAGAAAGCACATATACATGCCCGTCTGAAGTTTGCCAATGAACATCTGAATGATTCAGAGGACAACTGGGTGAAAGTGTTGTGGTCAGATGAGACCAAAATGGAGCTCTTTGGCATCAACTCAACTCGCCGTGTTTGGAGGAGGAGGAATGCTGCCTATGACCCCAACAACACCATCCCCACAGTCAAACATGGAGGTGGAAACATTATGCTTTGGGGGTGTTTTTCTGCTAAGGGGACAGGACAACTTCACCGCATCAAAGGGACGATGGACGGGGCCATGTACCATCAAATCTTTGGTGAGAACCTCCTTCCCTCAGCCAGGGCATTGAAAATGGGTCGTGGATGGCTATTCCAGCATGACAATGACCCAAAACACACGGCCAAGGCAACAAAGGAGTGGCTCAAGAAAAAGCACATTAAGGTCATGGAGTCACCTAGCCAGTCTCCAGACTTTAATCCCATAGAAAATCTGTGGAGGGAGCTGTAGGTTCGAGTTGCCAAACGTCAGCCTCAAAACCTTAATGACTTGGAGAAGATCTGCAAAAAGGAGTGGGACAAAATCCCTCCTGAGATGTATGCAAACCTGGTGGCCAACTACAAGAAACGTCTGACCTCTGTGATTGCCAACAAGGGTTTTGCCACCAAGTACTAAGTCATGTTTTGCTAAGGGGTCAAATACTTATTCCCCTCATTAAAATGCAAATCAATTTATAAAATTTTTGACATGCGTTTTTCTGTTGTTGTTGTTATCCTGTCTCTCACTGTTCAAATAAACATACCATTAAAATTATAGACTGATCATTTCTTTGTCAGTGGGCAAACGTACAAAATCAGCAGGGGATCAAATACTTTTTTCCCTCACTGTATTTATTGCTGTTCTTATATTGTTCTTGTTGCTGTTGTGTTTTGCTGTTACAAGCTGTCACAGATTCGCGCGTTACTTAGTTGTTTATAAGGCTAGCCGGGACGGCTAGATTTTTCATCAGGGGGGTGTGATGTCGTGGAGTAACGCGCGCGGGGGGGGGGGGTGCAAGCGGTGTACACGCATATGCGAGTTACGGACCGTGAGGTCGCATCAGGACGAACAGGTGTGGTGAGAGAGAGAGAAACGGAAAGGAGACGGCTAATTAAGATGCATAGCAGTGATTGGCTGGCTGCAAATGCAGGCTCGGAACAGGCGCCAGGTTGACGGGAGATTGAGGCGATAACGGCGGAAGCCACGGGCGTGAGGCGACGGGAGGTCGCCAGCTTAATTAATGAGGAGTTTATAAGGAGGGGGATGAATACGGGAGTGTGAGAGAGAGGGAGTTGAGTTGGTCGGAGTGAAGACGTCCAAGGCCCTGCTCTCCACACCTCGCCCTCTCCAGCAGTGACGGCTAAACCCCCTCTGGAGGCAAGGGCGAGGTTGGAGATGCGAGGGGAGAAAGGCTAGCAGTAGAGAAGATAGCAGAATATATAGCCGAAGGCTAGCAGTAGAGAAGCTAGCATAGTATATAGCGGAAGGCTAGCAGTGAAGAAGCTAGCAGAGTGTATAGCGGAAGGCTAGCAGTGGAGAAGCTCGCAGAGTGTATAGCGGAAGGCTAGCAGTGGAGAAGCTAGCATAGTATATAGCAGAAGGCTAGCAGTGGAGAAGATAGCATAGTATATAGCGGAAGGCTAGCAGTGAAGAAGCTCGCAGAGTGTATAGTGGAAGGCTAGCAGTGGAGAAGCTAGCATAGTATATAGCAGAAGGCTAGCAGTGGAGAAGATAGCATAGTATATAGCGGAAGGCTAGCAGTGGAGAAGTTAGCAGAGTATGTGGCAGCAGGTTAGCAGTAGAGAAGCTAGCAGAAGAGATAGGGAGAGGCTAGCAGTGGAGAAGCTAGCAGAGGGTATAGCGGAAGGCTCGCAGCGTAGAGGCTAGCAGTGGAGAAGCTACCCAAGTGTATAGTAATAGGCTAGCAGTGGAGAGGTTAGCAGAGTGTGCGGTGGGAAGCTATCAGAGTGTGTAGTGGTAGGCCAGCAGCGGAGCGAGCGAAGCGAGCGGAGCGTGGCAGGCAGAGGCTATCAGTAGAGAGGCTAGGAGAGAGAGAGAGCAGGCTAGCAGTGGAGAGGCTGAGAGAGTGAGAGAGAGAGCAGGCTAGCAGTGGAGAGGCTGAGAGGGTGAGAGGGAGAGCAGGCTAGCAGTGGAGAGGCTGAGAGGGTGAGAGAGAGAACAGGCTAGCGGTGGAGAGGGTGAGAGAGAGCAGGCTAGCAGTGGAGAGGCTAGGAGAGTGAGAGAGAGCAGGCTAGCAGTGGAGAGGCTGAGAGAGTGATAGAGCAGGCTAGCAGTGGAGAGGCTGAGAGGGTGAGAGAGAGAACAGGCTAGCAGTGGAGAGGGTGAGAGAGAGCAGGCTAGCAGTGGAGAGGCTGAGAGAGTGAGAGAGAGAACAGGCTAGCAGTGGAGAGGCTGAGAGAGAGCAGGCTAGCAGTGGAGAGGCTGAGAGAGAGAGCAGGCTAGCAGTGGAGAGGCTGAGAGGGTGAGAGAGAGAGAGCAGGCTAGCAGTGGAGAGGCTGAGAGAGAGAGAGAGCAGGCTAGCAGTGGAGAGGCTGAGAGGGTGAGAGAGAGCAGGCTAGCAGTAGAGAGGCTAGGAGAGTGAGAGAGAGAACGGGCTAGCAGTAGAGAGGCTAGGAGAGTGAGAGAGAGCAGGCTAGCAGTGGAGAGGTTGAGAGAAAGCGGAATGAGCGAAGCGGGCGAGCAGCGCAAACGGAAGAGTTCCGACGGAGTCACGTGGTGTTGAACGCGAGGAGTTCTGTTCAATAAAAAGTGACACAGGAGAAAAAGCTGTCCGCGTGAAATAAAAGCACTACATATATGTGGCATGGAGTAGAACGGTGGCACGAAGTTCGTTCACTGGACTATGAATCCATCGATCCGAGTTTGATTCCTGGCCCCCGCTAGCGTAAGTGGCGAGTGATAGCTGAACCGACCACCCACCGCACCCTTCACAAACCCGCCACTGAACCAGCACGGTGAAGTAGGGTTATAAGCAACGTCTATGAGCAACACGGCATGGGGAGACCTTCATTCACAACGGGCAGTAAATGATCATTTAAAGTATTTCTAATGTTGTTCACGCGACCCTTGCGGCTGTGAGAGACAAGCCACGTTCACCATCGCATCAAAGAAGCGACACTTGCAAAATAATCGCAACCCTGAATCTTTTCACAATGCAATCTATCGACTCACCAGGGAGGTTTGGCGGAAGGTGAACCCACTGAAACCCTCCAGCGCAGACGATGCGCAAATGTCCTTGCGTTTTCTTTTAACAAATATAACTTGTTGTGGGCACCGGCTGCAGGTACATTCGCGTGATATACCTGGGCATACAGAGCCGTCGGCGCAAGGACTACCAGCATCGCTTCGAGTGGGCCATGAACTACGAGTACGCAGATGCCAGCATCCTGCGCCTGGTGGAGAGCTTCCTGGAGAGCGCACCCCAGCTCGTGCTGCAGCTCTGCATCATGCTGCAGCACAACCGCGCAGAGACCGTGCAGTGTGAGTATAGTGGGGGGGGGGGCAGCAGGCCGGCCCCTGCCCCGGCCAGCCCCCCACTCCCCACCAAAGAACCGTTACTGTGCTAATCGGGCAGATTAAGGCACCCGTTGCCGTATACAGTGAGGGAAAACGTATTTGATCCCCTGCTGATTTTGTACGTTTGCCCACTGACAAAGAAATGATCAGTCTATAATTTAATGGTAGGTTTATTTGAAGAGTGAGGGACAGAATAACAACAAAATCCAGAGAAACGCATGTCGAAAATGTTATAAATTGATTTGCATTTTAATGAGGGAAATAAGTCAACTGCAGAAAATTATTTATCGCAACCACTGGTCTCTTTGCAGTGGTACCTACGCAAATGCAATTCGTTGAGAGCAGTGAATAGTTTTTACATGCTCAATCTATTGAATTGGGTCCGTTGAAAATACAATGTTGACAGGTGCTGACAACAAGTGCCAACGCTGCAGTCAGTTGGGTTTGTGGCTTGTTATCCTGAATTCGTCAGTGATAAAGCTCGAGTATTAACAGTATCAAATATCTCACTGGTGCGCATGTGATCAGAAAATTTAACATTGCGTGATTACACTTTGGTGCTTAGTACTGTACATTCAACTGACATTCATTTTCACACACATGTTAAGTCATGTCTTATGACGCTTGCCTGTGATGTTACTTTTTGTATTATACTTATATATTAGTCTGTTGCTTGGGGTATTTTTTTGCATGCTATTCTGATCACAATTTTCATAACAACTATATCAGATACATAAAACAATGCTACCATTGAAAGTTCAGATCTGGCCAGGCTGTTGTACTGAAATCAATTAAATTTAGGATATTCGTAAGCATCGGGCTCATTACTGCAGAGTGGGCCTCTGAATAAAAAACGCCGATTCATCCAAATAGTATTGACACAATAAATATCGGGGGCTGTTATTCTTTGCTAGAGATGACACGTAAGCACGACGATTCCTGGAAATGTTGGCCCCTGGAAAGATAGAAGGGAACACAATACATCCGTGCATCCCACGACTCGATAGTAAGAACCCCCACCACCCCACTCCGCCCTAATGGATGGCACGTGACTAAGTGCACGCGAACCGTGATTTATCCGTTTTACCGAGTGTCCCGTGTCTGGCTGCATCTGTCGCTCGGCCGGAAGGTTACGCAGACCCGGTTTATAAATAGCTCTTTCTGAGTGTGCTGCTGAGAATCCCGGAAGTGGCATCCCAACGGGGCTTTGGCTTTCCATTAGTCTGACTGACGGTGAGACAAAGCGGAAACCTAAGATTAGAGGCAAAAAAGTGACATCCTGAGCAGGGTGTGGCGTGGGGGTTGCGCTGAGTGGGATGAGTGGAGAGTGGGAGGGATGGGGCTGGTTGGGATGACCATGATGATGTTACGCTTTTCATGACAGTAAGTGTATACAGTATGCGTTAATCTCAACCACGACCGCTTAGAAACACAACAATTAAGACGGTAACGCCTCCTTCCCGTGGATGTCTCATTACGTAAATCACCAAAACTTTTTCGCACGATCTATTAGTCGGACAGCCTCCTGGGGTGTGACGTTTAACGGCAGCATTGGTTCAACGCAAGCAAATCCTGGACCGATTTGAGCATTAATTGTCTCGTCAGCAGAGTCGGGCTCGCTGGAGTCAATGCTGGTGAACTGCTAGAATGTTTTAGTGGGAAGGATTCTTCCTCGGTTAGATATGGCTCCTCGTTCGACTCGGGACTATAGAAGATATAACATAAAATTATCGTTATCGTCGCTTTCAAGGACATAAGTCGCAAACTAAATAAATAAGCAGACAATACTGGTATGTATTCTTTAAACACGTGAAATATATTTTATTTTAAAAAAGTTACATTCATCGCTAGTTTTAGGTATGAATTTTATTTTTTACAAAGAAATTCCAGCCATTCCCATCGACCAAATGATGAAGGCCTCCCCACACCATGTTGGTCATGGGGGGATATTTAACCATACTTCACCCCACTGGTCAGTGCGTGTTGGTGAAGGGGAGGGCAGGACCGGTTATGATATCACTTGCTGCCAATGTTAACGTTGGCCGGGAATCAAACTCGGGTCACACGGTTTGCTGAGCTTCAGACCCAGGATATTAAATATAATCATTGTTCTATGTTAGATTGCTGTGCCTGGGTGGTCACGAAAATATCTTGTGTTTAGTCCAACAAAGCACTTTTATATACCTGTCATTTGGAGATTCATTTATCTCTGCGTTTGACCTTTCCAGAGCGGAGAGGAGAATGGTATTCAGTTCCCCAGCCCTGGCCCCGATGGATAAAGGTGCAACTGTGCCATTTAAAGAAAGCCGAAGCTTTTGAAATTATGAGTGGAGACCTCGACATTAATAAGACTCTTTTCTTTAGAATAGAATGTCAGATTCCGTATCAGAGCAATGTTCAGTTTGTGCAAAGGGAAATTGTTGTTTTGCAGTCCTGAAATTATCATTGTTCAATCGCCACGTAAAAATGTACACGGCATAAAAACATATTCATGTTTTCATGCCAGTGTTATTAATTTAACGCCTCTTTATTCATTGCATCGGCGTTACAATTGTTTAGAAAATCTCCTTTATCGCAAACCGGTTGCAATGTTTCCGCAGAGCTACGTCGGTGGTGTTGCCCGTTCGTCCCGGTAGCGCTCGTGGGCGTGCTTGTGCACGCGACCGCTCACCAGCGTTTGCCGTGTGCTCCAATCCTTGCGTAGGCATCTCAACAGCGGTCTCTCTGCTGTCCCTGAGCTGGGTCCTCGCCGCCTACCACAAAGCGCTACGGGATTCCCGGGACGACTGCAACCGAATGAGCTACAAAGGTGCTATGCTGCAAATCTTCTGGAGGGCCTTGACCATCCTCTCGCGCGTGCTCTCCTTCGCCCTGTTCGCCTCCATCTTTCAGGTGTACTTTGGCATTTTCGTGGCAGTGCACTGGTGCGTCATGACCTTTTGGGTCATCTACGGCGAAACGGACTTTTGCACGTCGAAGTGGGAGGAGGTGCTCTTCAACATGGTGGTGGGCATTGTCTACATCTTCTGCTGGTTCAACGTCAAGGAGAGCCGGTCGCAGCGGCGAATGGCTGTGTACTACCTGCTCGTGTCCACTGAAAACTTCGCCCTCACCCTGCTCTGGTACTTTAACCGTGACAGGGCAGCCACGGAAGCCTTCGCGGTCCCGGCCCTTTGCGCCGTCTTTGCCAGCTTTTTCCTGGGCACCCTCTTCATGCTGCTCTACTACGGCTTCCTGCACCCGGACGGCCGCAAGTTCCGAGGGCTGCCCTTCTCCTGCTGTGCCCAGGTCCTCGACGGCGTCCCCATCCCGCCGGCGGCGGCCGAGGCCACTGCGGCGGCCGCGGCAGGGGCGGCGACGGTGCCGCGTGCCGGGGGCGAGCGCGACGGCCCCCCGGGGACGTCGGCGCTCGGGGCCTGCGAGCCCGACATCTTTCAGGTGCGGCCCGCGCTGCCGCCCCCGTCGCCGCGGCCGATGCGCCATGAGGGGCCCATCATCCGCGTGGACATGCAGAGGAAACGGTACCCGGCATGGGACGCGCACTTCGTGGACCGCCGCCTTCGCAGGACTATCAACATGCTGGAGTACGCCACCCCAACGGTGGTGGCTATCCGCTACCGGGACCTTACGTTTGCCTACGAGCTCGTGGAGTACGAGACGAGCGTCTGAGCGGCCGGCTCGCCCCTCACGACCCACGGCTAGTGGCGGCTGCTTCTCTCGCGCGCACCGCTCGTATTTTCAAGGTCCTTGTTTGGGAGGGAGAGAGATCTCGGCGGGGGAAAACAAAACTTCGTCCGGTAGTTTCGGCTTCAGTTTTGGTGCGGCTTGATGAGAGGGTCCGTAACAGCCGTCGCTGCACCGTGGGGGAGGGGGGGTGGGGGGATGCACGGAGTGGAACGGCTCGCGCCGCAGTGCTGGTGTCGTTTCTCACGTGCGCGTGACGAACTAATGCAAATTACTACGATTTCCATTGCAATACCACAAGTGATCCTAGTGCTCCCGAACACTCCGAATTACGCTCGTTGTGAGATTCATTCCCTGGTGTAATGTCACACAAACAAATCAAAAAGGTCTAAGGCGTGCAATGGTGTTTATGTGTGTCGGTTCAGCAGCAAAATAACTCGTAGCCTGAATATTTGATTATGCTCAGTTTAAACCCGGGGTTATGACAAACAAGAACATTGGTGCATCCTCTTCAACCTTCGGCCATAGAATTGGCACGCGTCATCTATCATTGAAATGTGAGATGCGTGCCTGTGTGCGCGATACCTTGGAGCATGAACGTTAATTCCGCTTGAAAGTTATAGGGAACGAAGGGTATGTGATTGGCACCCATCCCTTAGGCCATCTTGCCATTGAGTATCCAACCGTATCTGCTCTTCCATACCTCTCTCTTCTTTACCTTTTGTTTATTTGTGGCTTCATTTTGATCAATTTTGTTCCACCTTGCGTTGCATTCAATGCTTATCCCAATATGCCCTGTTCACAAAACCCCTGGTTTAAATTTTTAGGTGCTGTTTATAATAAAGCAAGTCTGATCTTAAACAGGCTCTCGGAGACGTCAATGCCACATAATTATTTGGTCTTGTTGTTTTTGAATATCTGTGGCCTTGTATATATTGAAAATGTGTGTAACTATCCGTGGTTGTAACAGTAACACTGTTCTCGTTTTAAAACCTACAGGTAACAAAAACTAAAGTGCAAGTCTTTATTCATTTCTATACACTTATAAAAGGACACAATTCCAGATTACTTCTAAGTTTCCTTAGTATATGCAAACAATTCTCTTTTTCAATTCAATTTAAAATGAAGACATATCTTTTACTGAGGGTAACTTTGCATTGTGCACTTTATTTTATGATCGAATTGTTAGTCAAATGTACTTCACAGGAACTTTGCAAACAAACACACTTCTACCAATTTTGATAATTCAGAGGCATTTCCTCACCTGAATATACCTGATACGTAAACGTCACAGCAGTTTCAATTATCCGCATGCTCGTAGTTACACTTTCACGACAGCTGATTAAACACTGTACTTTCTCTTTCCTATAAACCGTCGCCATGAAGATGAAGGTGAGACCTTTTAACAGCGCACCGCAAAAAAAAACTTGATTAAAAATAACGATGCGATTCTTATAACTCGTTTTTGGTTGTTTTAAACTCATTCATACTCAGGTGTATTCTGGTGTGGAAATTCTGACGGATGGAACTTGAATCACTTATGTCCGAGCGCCGCTGTTCTGACGCAGTCGGGTTGCGGCTCGCAGCGCCCGGGGGGAGAGAGACGCGGCTCTCAAACCCAAGAGTGTATCGGCGGCTCCGTTGCGAATATTGGCGCGGCCGTTTCTTGATTAAGGTCCCATCTCCTGGGTGCCCCCCTGTCCCCCGTTTATTGTCTAGCAGAGGGCCTGGCGCCGACCGTGGGCATGAACCCCGCTGCCGCTTGTCCGACGGCAGCCTTTTACGCGGCGTCGCATCCAGTGAACGTGCAGCGTTGGGGCATACACGTTGGCATGCAGTCGGGAACCGTCGGGCCAACGTGAGCCCGACGTTGGCGCCCGGCCCAACGTCCCATTGTTTTGCTGGGCACACGGAGATTTTGCGGAGGAGTTTTTGTGCGAGCTGATGCAGTTAATCCAAGCTTGTTAACGTAGGCTCGGTGAATGGTCTTTTTGTCCAGGTAGCACCAGTCACGAAAAAGGTGCTTTCGCCCAAGTGTATTATCAGAGCTATACCTGGTTACAATTGTGGACACCTTATGCTTGCAAAGAGTCACGTTTTAAATGCCATTTGTGTCTTGGGTGATGCCTCAGATTTGGCAAACAAGATGTGATTGCATAGTCATGATGATTGTACACCGACAATGGAACTCACCTTGTGTCACGCGCCTGATATATCGGAAATTGTTTGCAAAACAAAAAGGATTAATAGAGTAGTACTAACCTGAGAATACGTGTAGGTGTGCATTTGTTTCAATTCAGGGATGGTAACAGAAAGGTGGCATTTAACGTAGTGCTGTACTGTTAAGCAAGCACCACGTCGATACAATGCGTTACATTGAATTATTTTAAAATTTAAATTTTTGTGGGTTTTGAACGTTTTCACGACAATTTTACCAATGCTAATCACAATATCAGACACTTAAAAGCACATTACCTTTGCTGTTGAAAATCCCCTGGCTGCACAGACCTTAATAGGGTTAATGCAATAATGTCATATTATTGTCACTCAAATGTATGCAGCCTTGATAATTTTTGTATATCAAACTTTACACGATAATAAAATGGGTAAATTATCTGCATGTATTTGGCCAATGCTAATACTGCTCACTGCTATCCATCGTGGGTCTAATGATACGTAAATTTGTCGATTATTATGGATTCTTAATCTCATAATGGACGTGTCATATCATGTGTGGAAGAATCGACGTTTTTGTTCCATATGTGTGATACTCAATTGGTTCACTTGATTTATCCCGCCACTGGAGACTGCTACGTTCACCACAGTTAACATTTTAATGCAATTGGTTCTTGAATAGTATCATCCTGAATCGCGACAATTTCTAGAGAGCGGTGCGGTGAAACTTTATACCCCGAGCATATATTATCACCGAATCACGTGCTGTATTTTGAAGGCATTCACCAAACGAAGTGAAGAATTGGCAAAAGCAGGCCACACTGCGAGTGTCTCCAACCTGCGGCTGAGTTGCCTTTCGCATGTAATGACTTCATAACCTGCATCCTTTCACCAAGTAACAAATGCACGTTCAACTTTACGCACCTGCATACATTTTTAGTGGCATGCTATTTATTTTTTTACGATATCGGCACATTCCCAAAATGCTAGGTTTTTATTTGGTGGCACGCAGGGTTGTATCCTACGACGTGGATTCCGTGCCTGTTTTTTTACAGGGCGTTATGTTTTGAGAAAGTAAATTGAGGAAAATACTTTCCAATTAACAGCCAGGCAAAGGTGTTTTTTTTGTCACTTTTGAAGTTCAGCTGCGTAGCAATGTCTTTAACCTGTGTGCTGTGGCATACACAGCCCTTTTCAGTGTCAACCTCAGTTCGTGCTGTGGCAAGGGGCATTGGAGGAAAAGTCAGCTTCCTCTTCCCAATTAGCAGCTTCCTCTTCCCAATTAGATGTACTGCCACTTGTTTGATAGTTTTTTTAAAAGACAGCTGCAACGGTGGTCACGTGCGTGTTTTTTGAAACGTGAGACGGCCAACTGCGATCGACAGTATCTCTTTCAGCGCGGTACCAAACAGCATAACTATGGTGTTGTACTGTTCGTGGTGCGTTGCGCACGGTTGAGACGTAGAGATATTTTGCAGCAGCTGATCCCTCCCTGTGTTTTTTACGTATTCATTGTTAAATAAGTGAGTGATTTTCAATTGGCCCCTGTTATGGTGAAGCCCCAGTCCCTGGGTTCGTGTATTTTCTTTTTCAGTCAGTATTCAATTTTTTTAGAGAGACATCCTAGCTGTAGCTGACAGGTGCATGGCCAATAGACAGGCGGTGATATGCCGATGCGTTACCAACAATGATGGTTTAGACGGTAATTGCTGTAAATTGTGTAAAATCCTACCCCAACCCCCTCAAAGCCAATAAATGGTATGTGTACATTTAGAAAAGTGAAACTATAAATCTTTCCGCGCGTGCGCAATTTGAGCTCGCAAATTGTGGAGGGAAACTGGGGGCGTAGTCGACGCACCCAGAGTGTGTATTTGTACTCTCCAGCAATATTGCCTGCAGTCGTACGGCAGATCTCTCGCAAGTGTCTCCACTGGAGAGAGAGAAAGCAGTGCTGAATATTTAAAGCAATCTCTCATTCAACCGGACAGGGTTTGCTTTTGCTTAGCCAACTTGGGATTGACTTGCGATGACTCACAGAGGCATCACCCGCTTTTACTTATTAAAGGAACCTCCATTTGGCGTTGGCCGATTCAACCGGGTCACAAAAGACACTTTAATGTGCCAATTTCTGTAGGGAATGAAGAAACGCCAGGCTTGGTTTGTCATGAGTATAACTGAGGCCAGGGTTTTGCAATGAACTAATTCGTGTCACGGCATTGTATTTTAGATAATGTTGGTCTTTGAACAAATACAAAATTGCGGCAAAATTCGAGGTGGCTTTTTTGAGACATGAGTTGAATCTGTAAACCCTTAAATGGAAGGTCAGTGCGGCTCGTCGATTGCATGCAACGTGCGGCTTAAGTGTGTACCAGGAGCAGTTTGCACTTTTTACTGCAACTTAGTTTCTCAAATGGGAGAGTTGACCCAGCTTAACAGATATTGGCACAAAGGACAATGTTGGAGAATGGGAAAGGGTAAGATGGGGTTTAGGGTTGTGGGCAGAGAGGGGCATTGCGTACATTTTGGAGGTAACTTAAAATTAAATACATTTGGATTTAAAAATAAATCCCCAAACTCCAAGTGGAAATGTGCTAAAAAAAACAAAGATACTTCAGCTCCTGTTTGTGAAGATGTGTCCACAAAATATATACGAGAGGAGGTTGGAAGCAATGGTATTCATTTAGGTGTGGTTGTAGTATGATATGATGTGTGCCACAGATGAGAAAAAGGCAACAGAATTTCAGATCAGTATTAAAGTTCACTGTGGCTTGCCATGAATTTAGGTATCTTGGATATTAATGGGATATTGTGAACTTTTAACCTTTATATAATTGTCAAAATATATGCGTATTGTCACAATTTGGGAAAGTGGCAGTAAGTAGCATGTGTAACATGTACTAATGTAGTTCTCGTAAGTCGTTTCAAGAATTAATTGTTGCAGTTGTATCCGTAGTGACAGTCGCAGTAGTAA